ATATTGTTTCTAGGCCATTGTGTTTTTTCTAATTGAAGCATCATCAGCTTCAATCCAATCATTTTCTTCTCTATGCAGGGTGTCCCATTTAACTTGAGACAACTAAATATTTCGAAAAATAAGCATTGTACGAAAAAATGTCCCAAATAAATTTTTTAATATTATCAAGGGGACGTCTGGCTGTATAAATACCGCCCCACGCCCTTGGGGTGGGCGGGTGGCAACTTTGAAATTTCAAATAGGAACCTCCATTTTTTTATTACAGATTCGGATTCCTTGGAAAAAAATACGTAAGTTTTGTCCGAGACATTTTTTCGAATCGTGATAGATGGCGCTGTAATCAATGAAAATTAGTTTTTGCCATTTTCTCTCACCATCGGGGTGCTTTATTTCGGTGAGTCCCCTCGCCTCTCACTATTCAATTACAATAAATGCTCGAAATGATGACTTTCCATTTTGATGCATTTATTAACTCGAGCTTGGAATGCTTGTACACATGTAGAAAGTGTATCTGGCGTTATTTGTGCGCAAGCATATCTAATACGTTCCACCATGTTTTCTCGAGTATTTGGTATTTCTGTATACTCTTTTTCTTTAAGGTAACATAAAATTATTTCAACTTTCAAAATTATTTCAACTTTCTTCTCTAAAGATAAATAATCCATTATTTATTTAATAATGGCTGAAATAAAGAACGCGTCCGTAAAAAAACAAGTAGCTAATCCAAAACTATGAGCATCTACAAATGTAGTAAATTTCTGAAATACTGAAAATACTGAAAAGGAGAAACAAAATAAATGAAAGAAATTAAGTCAGAACAATTCTTCAATAACTGGATTCTTTAAATTTCAAGTCAAGTAAATTTCAGTAATACATACGCTAGCTACTTGTTTTTTTACGGACGCGTTCTTTATTTCAGCAAATAAATAATGGATTATTTATCTTTAGAGGAGAAAGTTGAAATAATTTTGAAATAATTTTGAAAGTTGAAATAATTTTATGTTACCTTAAAGAAAAAGTGTATACAGAAGTACCAAATACTCGAGAAAACATGGTGGAACGTATTAGATATGCTTGCGCACAAATAACGCCAGATACACTTTCTACATATGTACAAGCATTCCAAGCTCGAGTTAATAAATGCATCGAAATGGAAGGTCATCATTTTGAGCATTTATTGTAATTGAATAGTGAGAGGCAAGGGAACTCACCGAAATAAAGCACCCCAATTGTGAGAGAAAATGGCAAAAACTAATTTTCACTGATTACAGCGACATCTATCACGATTACGAAAAAATGTCTCGGAACAAAACTTACGTTATTTTTTCCAAAGGAATTCCGAATCTGCAATAAAAAATGGGGTTCCCATTTGAAATTTTAAAGTTGCCACCCGCTCCACCCCCAAGGGGCGGTGGGGGCGGGTTAATTTTTACACAGGCAGACGTCCCCCTTGATAATATTAAAAGTTTATTTGGAACATTTTTTCGTACAATGCTTATTTTTCGAAATATTTAGTTGTCTCAAGTTAAATGGGACACCCTGTATATATATATATATATATATATATATATATATATAATAGATATGTAAAAATAATAAATAAGTAAATTCTTCTTTCTGGTGATAACAAAAAGAAGCCCATACAACACAAAACATTACATTTACATTGCAGCAATGTTACAATCTTGCAAGTTGCAATGTAATATTATTGAGAGATTATTGGAACATTGAATTGTAATATTTCATGAGAATGTGACAGCAACATTGCAAAAACATTACAAGAGCAATATTCGGTAATCGCTACTCAGGGAGAAATACAGGTCGAAGAAACGTCTAATAGACATCTAATAGATGTCTATAGACGATGTCTCTTAGACGTTTCTTCGACCTGTATTTCTCTCTGGGTAGTTCGTTCGTTTACCGTTATGCGACGCGCGTTGCAAAATCTATCTCGTATTTAAGTTTTAGTCATGATGATATAAAACTTCCAAAGAGTGGCTAGTAAAATACGAAGACCTTAGTAACTGTTTTTATTAGTTAATTTTCTGATACGACCCTAACACAGGGAATTCAGATATTGAACTGATTGTTCAGAAATCGGACAAATAAAATGTCCAAATAAATAAAAATATATACAACATTATTCTAAGATTGCAATAACAATGCATTATTGCAAATTCATTATCTTGCAATATTACTGTAATATTTCGTTACAATCTTCCTAAAGGCGGATATTTTAACGTTGCTGCAATCCCACAGCAATGATGCAACAATATTTTGCAGTAAATTTGCAATATTGCAACATTGCGATGAAAGATTGATGCAATGTGTATGCAATCTTTGTGTGCTGTATGGGAGGATTTATTTACTTATTATTTTATATGTTTGAAAAGAGTAAGGATGCAAAAAATATATTTAACCGTTTTCGACACGCTGTTGAATTTTTGCTAAAATTTATGACTCGGCATGTGTTGTTGGCAACTTGCTGTCATTTTGCTCTTTATGTACAGCGATAAACCATTGACAGCAAACACATAGCAACTTAACAGCAACACATGCTGAATTGATGTGATATCATACCAGAGGCAAATGACTCACACACCTTGTTCTAAATTTGCTGAAAACTAATGCCCTTTGTTTTCAGCAACGTGGCAACAACAACACAGACAGGTGGCTATCAGGGTATATGTAATATATTATTTATGTTAAAAATTTAAATAGAATTATGCAAACATTTTTATTTTTTATTACTTACGCTTTAATTATTGCTAGCAATATTAATCCCATAAGCAATGCACCAAATTTTAATCACAAGTATAAAGTACAATTTATTTCATACTAGGAAAAAGCGTACAAAGAATTATCAGAAATTTACGGCATTAAATCTCCAAAATCTGTACCAATTAAATATGATGATTTGCAAAAAATGAATTATTTGAACCGAGTTATTAAGGAAACAATGAGACTCTTTCCTGCTATTCCTGTTGTTGCACGATTTCTAACAGAAGACTTAAAGATAGGTACGATTAATCATAATTGTGTATTATAATAATTTATTTAAAAATTGTGTTTTTCGTGCTACAATTAAAAGACAGAGATACATACATAATTTTTTAATAATAAGACGTATGTTTACTTAGACTATTTTTCACTATTACATTTTTATTATAATAATATTTCAATATAAACATATGTATATTTTAGGAGAAACTATTTTACCTAAAGGAGCTGATGTATTTATGTCTATATTTCATATGCACCGAAATAAGAAACATTGGTCGAATCCCTTGATGTTTGATCCAGATAGATTTCTCCCGGAAAAACAAAAACATTGTTCGAAATATTTCATTCCGTTTAGTAACGGACTCAGAAATTGTATTGGTAAGCACGAATGAATAACAAAATATTATGATAAAATTGTTTTGTATATAATTAACAAAATTGCAGGTCAGAAGTATGCGATGATTTCTATGAAAATTGTTTTAGCAACATTGATACGCACGTTTGAATTCAAAGTGAATAAAAATATCAAAATAAATGACATAAAACTTAATATGGACATATCATTGTGTACTATAGATCCTCTGAAAGTTAAAATAAAAAAAAGAGATTATTGAATTTAAAAACTATAACTATTCATGTTAAAAGAAAATGTAAATGAGAAATTTGAGAAATAAAGGGTGAAGGATATATAAGTGAATTATTATACAGACAGTACACTTTTTTGTTTAGTACATTTCATTAAGCAAATGCGAGTAGTATGTTTTACGAAATATATATGTAATCGTTCAATTTTACTTTTATCTTACTAAGCAAGTTTATACTCTATATTTCTTTTATATCTTTTATATTTTCTGCTCATTTTGTAGTTAGTTTTATTTTCTCTCTCTAACAAAGTATACAAGTTTGTAAGGGTTGAATATTAATTATTTAAGGGCAATTAAGAAATAAAAATGAATTACTTGAAAAAAATTTAATATAATGTTCGAATAAATACAATTTTATCCCGTCAGCCGAGTCAGTCAATTTTTACAGAGTTCTCTATACAAGCTATCCTTATACCCGATACTTGCTCGAATCACAATTTCCGCGCTATTCCGGCGACAGTTTCTATCTCTATCTATCTACGCCCACGCTATTCCGTGGAAGAGATTACTAGTGTCCCTTTTTGCGCTTCTTCAAAAATTCCCCGCGAACTCTGCTCTCCGTCTCGTGCTCTCGGTATTCATAGGCCCCTCAAGCCTGATTCGCACTTTTGAGGCCCGTTCTCAATTCCGGCGGCACCCCGTGCTGACCACAGATGTGGTCTATACTAGTACTAGATGGTCTATACTAGTACTAGATACTAGTACAGATGTGGTCTATACTAGTACTAGATCGCTAACTTTAGGCTTTGATGTATGGAAAAACTGAGGCTGGCAGGATTTCCGGTTTCGGCCATGACACCCTACAACAAAATGGCCGCTCAACAACTGCTCAACAACTGCTCGGCATCTTTCAAGAATTTTTACAATATTATCAATTTGTATCACCACGCCGGGTATCACATGTGCATACGCACGTACAGATATAAGGCCATCACACACAAAATGACATAACTGCATATGCATAGCATAAGACCGTCTCGACCAATGAACATGCTATGTAAATCAATATGGCACCTATATGCTAGATGTTCATTGGTCGAGACGATCTTATGCTATGCATATGCAGTTATGTCATTTTGTGTGTGAGGGCCTATACACATTACACACGCATTGTCGCCATTTTGTTGTAGGGTGTCATGGCCGAAACCGGAAATCCTGCCGGCCTCAACTTTTTTGACGAAGTTAGCGATCTAGTACTAGTATAGACATCTGTGGTGCTGACCAATCTCTTTGCCTCTCCCTCTCTGCCTCTTACAAGTTTTTGTTGAGCGTGCGGTTAAAAGAACATTGTACCAACTTTATCTATACGTTTATTAAAATATATCTCTCAGTAATAAAACCTCCTCTGGAATCGTTAATTCGATTAAACCTCCACGCTTGGTTTAAGAAGGGCAACAGGTTATGGGCCCAGGGTTTGAGGTAAAATAATAAAAGAGGAAGGACGAAAGAGAGATTATAGTGCCACGTGTCATTAATTGGAAAAATCTTGCGGTCGGCAAAAGTTGAGACAAAATGGAAGGCCTAAAACATTTTCAAATCCAGAAGTTTAATGGACAAAATTTCCAGCTATGGAAATACCAGATGGAAATAATATTTCGAGCGAAACCAGGTATGTTTGAACTCGTGAATAGAAACTCAATGTCCAGCAAATGGAGGTATGGCACGTACAACATGGAACAATCTAAACGCAAAGGCAATGCTGATAATATCATCAGGTATGGAATATGAACAATTGCAAACCGTGGTAAGTTGCCAGACAGCACCTGAAATGTTGAACCGTCTAAAAACCATACACGAGCAAAAATCAGCAGTCAATAAATTACAACTCAAGCAACAATTTTTTAATTATAAAATGACAGAGACTGATTCAGTTGCTCAACATCTAAGTAAAATAGATTCGTTAGCACAGGCACTTGCTGACGTAGACGAGCCGGTCACCGAAGTGGATAAACTAGCAAAGGCGCTTGATCTTCCTATAAAAGTCTTCCTATAAAATACAGCGGTTTCATTACAGCTTAGGATTCATACAATGAAACAAAACAAACCTACGAGAATTTGGTTGCACGACTAATGAAAGAAGAGAAACGGCTGACTGAAGCAAAGGAAGTGGCAGTAGCTTTTGCATCCCTGAATGTAAATAAAACGTCAAAAACAAATACAGATCAGAAAGGAAAATCTACAGATAAAAGAAATGTAGAGTGCTTCTTCTGCAAGGGTAAGTCAGAATGCCGTAAGAGACTGAATAAGCAACAGTTACAAAAGGAAGACAAAAATCGGAAACATCAAGCCTTATCAGTAGAGCACAAAAATATTATGGCATGTGACAACGAAGAGGGGTGGCTGGGTGATAGTGCTGCCTCAAAGCATATGTCCTATCGAAGAGAATGGTTTACCAACTTACATACTAGAAACATTAAAGATTTTGTACAAGTTGGTAATAATTCTCAAATCAAAGTAGAAGGTTACGGTGATGTAAAGCTTCTAGCACTAATCAATGGCGAGTGGGAGCCACGTACACTTGAAATCGTATTGTATGTTCCAAAACTAAGTAAGAATCTTTTTTCAGTGGGAGCAACAACAAATAAAAACCTGAAAGTAATCTTCAGCAAGGACAAAATAGAAATTTACAGCAATCGTCTAGTGGCCACGAGCAATCCAATCACTGTTATAAAATGCTATTCAAGCCGGCGACCAAAACAGTAGCAAATGTATCAGTGATAAGTTCAGCAACACTGTGGCATGACAGACTAGGCCACATCAATTTTCAAGCACTAAAGAATATGGCTGATCAAGGTCTACTACCAAATACACAAATAAAAACAACTGAAGGATTATTTTGCGAAGCTTGCCAATACGGTAAATTGCATCGGTTACCTTTTAAACAGAATATAAAAGATAAAGGTTTAAAACCAGGCGAATGTCTGCACATGGATCTGTGTGGAAAGATGTCATATCCTTTAATCAGCGGGGCATACTATTATATACTGTTCAAAGACGAAAGTACGTCCTACAGAATTATTCGTTTTATCAAGCATAAGAGTGACGCTTTTTCACAATTTCTCGAAATACAAAAATTAGTTGAAAAACAAACGGGTAATTTAGTAAAGAAAGTAAAAAGTGATAGAGGTCTAGAATTTAACAATGATCAGTTTCAGCGACATTTCCGTGAAAAAGGAATAATCCATGAGTTCAGCGCTCCATATACTGCAGTGCAAAATGGAAGAATCGAGAGAGAAAACCGAACAATTGTGGAAACAGCTCGCAGTATGTTATTCGCAGCAAAGTTGGAGCCAAATCTATGGACTGAAACAGCAAACACAAGCGTTTATCTACTCAATCGACGACCTCGAAAATCAGACAAAACAATACCATATGAACAATGGACAGGACGGAAAGTTACATTGAAACATCTCAGAAAATTTGGATCAGAGGTCTATATACACGTTCCGAAGCAATTTAGAACAAAATTCGAAAGCAAATCCAGAAAAATAATACTAGTAGGATACGACAACAACAGTCCAAACTGCAGAGTACTGGATCCGCAAACCTTGAAAATTACAGTAACCCGAGATGTTGTATTTAATAAACAAGATGTCAATAAAAGTAAAGAGGATACATATACAACTTTCTCGATTGAGAAACAGCAAGAGGAAGATGTACAGAATAAAATCGGAACAGCAGGACAAGATGATGTCGAAAATGTTTCTGACAGCTCAATAGATGCAGAACAGTCAGAAGAAGAAGAGGACAGACCTAAAGCCACAGAACAACGCATACTAAGGGATCGAAATAAAATTCAAAAACCAGCACGATACAATGAAACCTATTGTATGGCCTGTGCAGCAGTAATAATGAAAGAACCAAAATCATATGAAGAAGCAATGTCAAGTAGTGAGGCCAAAAATTGGTGTCAAGTTATGGAAGAGGAAATGGATTCATTAGCAGCCAAAGGAACATGGTCTCTAGTACCTCAACCGGAAAAACAGAAGATCATAGACTGCAAATGGGTGTATAAGCTGAAGCGTAGATCAGATGAAACGATCGATAAGTATAAAGCTCGTTTATGCGCGAAAGGTTTCCTGCAAGCAAAAGGTATAGACTATAGTGATACTTTTTCTCCTGTGATTAGATACGATTCTATTCGAATTCTCTTAGCTTTAGCTGCAATACATGATCTAGACATACAACAATTTGATGTAAAAACCGCGTTTTTACATGGAAAACTAACAGACGAAGTTTATATGAAACAGCCAAAAGGCTTTGATACAAATCCTAATTTAATTTGTAAATTACATAAGAGTATTTATGGTCTCAAGCAATCTCCACAATGTTGGAACATTAAATTTACAAATTTTTTGAAGTCTTTTAACTTTACTCAACTAGAGGCAGATAAATGTGTTTTTCGTTCAAAACTTGATAATGAAATAGTTTTTTTAGCTCTATATGTAGACGATAGGTTGATCATGTGCAAATAAACAGAAACCATAAGTAAAATACTAAAAGAACTTAACTCAGAATTTGAAATCAAAGTAATAAAAGACTTAAAATATTTTGTGGGTAGAAATAAACAGAAATAAAACTAAAAAAAAATATACATTCATCAAAAGAACTATATCAATAGAATGTTACGAAAATTTCAAATGGAAAATTGCACGCCAGTTACAACTCCTGCCGAATCCAATGCAAAATTAGATTGTAATGATTGTCCAAATACAAAATCCGAAATAGAGACAATGAATAAAATTCCTTATCGAGAACTTGTAGGAAGTTTAATGTTTGCAGCAATTGTGTTGCGTCCAGATATAGTTTTTGCGGTCAATCAAGTAAGTCGTTTCTTAAATAATCCAGTGTGACGTGACATTTTCGAGGTCCGTCACAAGGGCGAAAAAGCCCGATCGAGGAGGGAAATTTGAGGTCGGAAACCCCACCGCGGGGGGCGACGACCTCTCCCTCTTAGTTCTTTTTCTGAGCGTTGTAGCGAATTACGCGAATTACGCGAGTCGTAGTGAGTGGCCAAACTCCCATTTTGTGACTAAGGTGGAGCAGCCTTCGTGGGATCTGCGAGGGACTCAGCAGGCAGGACGACGGAGGCCCGGACAGCGAGTAGACAGATCCGGAACAAGGTCAAGTAAAAAT